AACAAACTAAACATTTTTTTTTTCAAAATTTTCTGTTTTTTGGTTTGTTTAGCAAAAAATATAAAACCCAGTGGTGATTAAGATATTGTATGTACTCTCCAGCGCCTCAGGATATGCACAGCCAAAAGGGAAGCCAAGGGTACCAGGACAGCGACAACCAAAGGAAATGCTTCAGGGGTGCAGCCCTCCTCAGACGGGGAAATCAGCCACTGGAGAGAGAGAAAACAGGTGGCCATTCACAGATGAATGGAAAGTAGGAGCCCAGCCCAGCCATTTCCCCACAGGCATAAAGCACACTCCCACACCATCCCACTCAGGCATCAACAGCAAGGCTCCTACTTTCCATTCATCACACATCTGCATCAGAGGTTGGTCATCAGCTCTGAGGAAAGGGATTTGTCCCCCGAAACGCGTCAGCCATTTGACAGTGAGAACACTTTGCCTGCCGTTCTGGCCATTGTCATTTTTCTATGCTTTTTTAGATACATGCTTCGTCTGTGAGTATGTTTTTATTATTCTTTCACTCCTACAATAAACCTTGGATAATGCACTAGGTGTGTGCGCCACCTGTTTTCTCTATCCAGTGGTGATTAAATACCACCAAAAGAAAGCTCTATCTGTCTCAAAAAAATGATAAAAATGTCATATGGGTACAGTGTTGCATGACCGCGCAATTGTCATTCAAAGTGCAACAGCGCTGAAAGCTGAAAATTGGCCTGGGCAGGAAGGGGGTGAAAGTGCCCTGTAGGCTTGTGGTTAAGCATGTTACACGGCAGTCAGCGGTCATGCTCCCCATACTGCTATCCTGTACATATTACCACTTGGCGGCTATCCTGCCCCTATATCGCTCAGCCCCATGTTAACTATTTCATTGCTGGAGGCAATTTCATTGCCACAGTGTATCCTAAGGGTCAGCAATAACTTGGCCCTGCAGTCTCCAACCCCCCCCCCCCCCCCCCCCCTCACTAATAAAATGATGACCGGCATTCTTCAGAAGAGGAAAAGCTTTCTGACGGGAGCAAAGGGCGATGGGTATCGCAGAGACGCAGCCTGCCTGTCCTCAGATAGCCCTCCATACTAAAACAAATCTATAGGAAAATCGCCTGCAATTCTCCTCTTTAAGTTTTTTTTTTTTTTTTTTTTTTTTTTTTTTTTTTTTTCTGCCTTTCATAAAAAAAAAAAAAAAAAAAAAAAAAAAAGAGAGAGAGATGCGTGTTCAGGGAGGGGAGGCACGCTTCTCCGCCGATTCATGTGCTTGTATCGTGACTTCAGGCTGCAGCAGAGGATGCTCTTGCTTGATGAAGCGATTTCAATCAATGGATTAGGTTTGCGGGGGAAAGGATGGGTGGAGACGTCGTTCATAGCAACCCGATTCTTAATTCCACTTTCTAAAAATAATCCCTGGTATCTGATAAAGGTTATGGACAACATTTCCCACGTTTCTTTTGCATCGGTTTTCTTATGAAATGAGACGGCTGTTTTCTTTTTTTTTTTTTTTTTCTTTTTTGTTTTTTTTTTTTCTCCTTCTCTTATCGGGTTTTTTTGGCCTTTTCTTTATAAAAGTAGATCTAGCGTCAGATAGATAGATAGATAGATATAGAGATATATATATATATATATAGAGAGAGAGAGAGAGAGGGATATATATATATATATATAGAGAGAGATATATAATCTATCTTTTAGTTATACAAAGCCATAGATATACAGTTGCAAGAAAAAGTATGTGAACCCCTTGGGATTACATGGAGTTTTGCATGAATTGGGCATAAAATGTGCTCTGAACGTCATCTAAGTCACAACAATAGAAGAACACAGTCTGCTGAACATAATACTACACAAACATTAGATGTTGCCATGGTTTAATTTCACATAACATGTAAACATTCACAGTGCAGGGAGGAAAAATTATGTGAGGCCCTAGCTTAATGACTTCTCCCAGAGTTAATTGGAGCCAGGAGTGAGCCAACCTTGACTCCAATCAGTGTGATGATATTGGATGTGTTGCTGACAGCTGTCCTGCCCTTAAAAAACACATCTGTTTTGGGTTTACTGGTTTCAAGAAGCACTGTCTGATGTGAACCATGCCTCGCAGAAAAAGCTCTCAGAAGACCTACGATCAAGAATTGTTGACTTGCATGAAGCTGGAAAGGGTTACAAAAGTATCTCCAAAAGCCTTGATGTTCATGTGTCCACGGTAAGACAGACTGTCTACAAATGGAGAAAGTTTAGCACTGTTGCTACTCTCCCTAGGCGTGGTCGTCCTGTAAAAATGACTGCAAGAGCACAGCGCAGAATGCTGCATGAGGTAAAGAAGAATCCCAGAGTGTCAGCTAAAGACCTACAGAAATCTCTGGCACATGCTAACATTTTTGATGACACATCTACAATAAGGAAAACATTAAACAAGAATGGAGTACATGGGAGGACACCACGGAGGAAGCCATTGCTGTCCAAAAAGAATATTGCAGCACGTTTGAAGTTTGCAAAAGAGCACCTGGATGTTCCACAGCACTACTGGCAAAAATATACTGTGACAGATGAAACCAAGATTGAGTTGTTTGGGAAGAAACACACAACACTATGTGTGGAGAAAAAAAGGCACAGCACACCAACATCAAAACCTCATCCCCACTGTGAAACATGGCGGAGGGAGCATCATGGTTTGGGGCTGCTTTGCTGCCTCAGGGCCTGGACGGATTTGTTGTCATTGATGGGAAAAAGAATTACAGAGTTTATCAAGACATTTTGCAGGAAAACGTACGACCATCTGTCCGCCAACTGAAGCTCCGCAGAGGATGGGTGATGGCAACAGGACAATGACCCAAAGCATACAAGTAATTCAACAAAACAATGGCTGCAACAGCACAGAATACGCCTTCTGGAGTGGCCCCAGTCAGAGTCCTGACCTCAACCCGATTGAAATGCTGTGGCATGACCTTAAGAGAGCGATTCACACCAGACATCCCAAGAATATTGCTACACTGAAACAGTCTTGTGAAGAGGAGTGGTCCAAAATGACTCCAGATCGTTGTGCAGGTCTGATCTGCAACTACAGGAAACGTTTGGTTGAGGTTATTGCTGCCAAAGGAGGGTCAACCAGTTATTAAGTCCAAAGGTTCACATACTTTTTCCTCCCTGCACTGTGAATGTTTACATGTTATGTGCAATTAAACCATGGCAACATCTAATGTTTGTGTAGTATTATGTTCAGCAGACTGTGTTCTTCCATTGTTGTGACTTAAATGACATTCAGAGCACATTTTATGCTCAATTCATGCAAAACTCCACGTAATCCCAAGGGGTTCACATACTTTTTCTTGCAACTGTATATAGAATTACAGGTTTAAGCCCTAATCCATCCAGATCTATCAAACAGGTTTATGTTGTTTAGTGCAGCCTTTCTCAACCAGGGTGCCTTGAGGTTTCTTCAGGGTTGCCTTAGCAAAATGTCTAATAATTGCCCAAGCCAGTAGGAGGAACAAGCCTGACTTTTAGTTCTATAAAGCCACAGGTTTTCATTGTGCACCATTAAGGCCTTCTAGCCGCCGGCGTCCTGACAACCAATGACCTCATCAGTTGATAAGGAGGATGTCCGCTGCCTGCACAGCATCCTAGTTTGACCCTCCCCTGCCCCTCTCCATCAGTGCTGGGATCACCGTAGCTCAGTGATGGAGAAGAATTGAATACTAGTCGGTACCAGTGTGCAAAAGTGTTTTTGCTTTGGAAGAATAAATCGCCTTCAATGTTGGGTGCCCTACATGTGTGGATGTTGCTGCGTTATAGAATTATAGAATAGATAGTTTTTTCACATTTTTACAATGGGGTGCCTCAAGACTGTCCATAATTTTAAGGGGTGCCTCAAGACTGTCCATAATTTTAAAGGGTGCCTCGGGCTGTCCATAATTTTAAAGGGTGGACTCGGACCATAATTTTTAAAGGGTGCCTTGACTGGAAAAAGGTTGAGAAACACTGGTTTAATGCATGGGACTGCCTGCATGCGGACGCATGGAAGACCTGTGCAGGTAGTCATTGCCCTCATATGGGCGTATGCTTAAGTGTGCCCGTATGAAGGAGGCCTTACAGATCTTGTCCCTCCCTCAGGTTGTGATTGGACAGTGAAAGAAGAAACTGTAGACTGATTAGCTTGCATCTCCCTCGTTCTGCTCTCTGCTCCTTGCACTGCGGCACAGCTCATTGGCTACTTACAATGCTTCTCTTTTTCCCAGGCTAAGCTCTGCTGTACAGGGAACTACAAAAGGCTAATCAGGTACTGGCACTGCTTACATTAAAGCAAATTTAATATTGGGCTAATGATGACAGAGCTGCATTCATTTTGAGTCTTTCATATTTGCCTGGACTTCAGCTGAAGCTGGACTACATGGAGATATAAAAGGCACAAATTTAATTCAGCTCTGTATTCATTAATACAACGTTAAAAATAGATTTGTAAACGTAAGCCGTGTTAAGTACCCAAATCTGACCTGGCATCCGTCCCTGTATAGCGGGGTTGGAGTGTGAGGGGAAGAAAGAGCAAAGAGCCAATTAGTTCATAGGCTGATAGGAGAGAGCCGAATGATTGAGAGATAAGCTCATCACTGCGCTCCTCCTCCTTAGAACGTCTAGTTACAGGCTGAGAAGGAAGCCCAGAACAACCTGGGCTCAGAGAAAGTAGGTTGAATACTGGCCATTGGACTGAAGACCTTGTGATAGGAAATATCAGTTTTGATGCAATATTTACTTTCAGTTCACAGATTTACTCTGCAATACTTTTTTCTATCTTGTATTGGGCTGTTCATTTTTATTTTGGTGTTTTTTAACTGTGATTCTGATTGAAAGACCTGTGTATGAATTAAATACTTGTATATTCCTATAGAAGTCCAATATCTCTGAGAACATATCCTATGGCTGTTGTCTGAAAGCTCCTATACACCTACCAGCGTTGATTTAATGTATCAGAACTGTTTTTATGTATGTTTATTCTGTTCATTCATTCTTAGGAGAAAAGTTCAACGTGGAAACCAAAGTCATTGCGGCAGATTTTGGAAAACCCACAGAGATCTATGGGCGCATCGAGGTGGGACTGAAAGGTCTTGAAATTGGAGTCCTTGGTAAGTAAAACTGAGATGTATAATAATGGGATTACATGAGATTTGTAGAACGACACGAAGTTCAGTTTTCACTTTTGGAGATCCCATTTAACCACCGCCCGCCATATAGTAATATGACGGACGCAAGGTGGTTCTCTCGTTGTGGGAGGACGTCACATGACGTCCTCCCATTCTAACCACGCATGCATGGCTCAAGGGGCGCGCAGCGCGGCGATCGGTGGTGCGCTGTGTCCCTCGGACACAGCAGATCACCGATCCACAGAAAGAGCCAAAGATGTCAGCTCGGCATGTGATCAGCTGTGTCCAATCACAGCTGATCACAGGGAAATGCCGGTTATCTGCATTTCTCTCCTCTCGAGCTGTCACGCTGACAGAGGAGAGGAGAGCCGGTAATCGGCATTCCGCAGAGGGGACATGTACACTGATCATCAGAGTACTGATGATCAGTGTAGCCCCAGCAGTGCCAGCTGTCAGTGCTCATCAGTGCCTACCAGTGCACATCAATGCCACATATCAGTGCCCATCTGAGCTGCCTTTCAGTGTCACCCATCCGTGCCAGTCAGTGCCACCTATCAGTGCTGCCAATCAGTGCCATGTATCAGTGCTGCCTTTCAGTGCCCATCAGTGATGCCTGTCAATGCCCATCAGTGCCACCTACCAGTGCCTCCTCATCAGTGTCCATCAGTGCCACCTATCAGTGCCCATCACTGCAGCCTCATTAGCGCACATCAGTGAAGGAGAAAAATCACTTATTTACAAAATTTTATAACAAAAACTAAGAAAAAACTTTTTTTTTTTTTTCAAAATTTTCAGTGGTTTATGGTTTGTTTAAGAAAAAATAAAAAACCCAGAGGTGATTAAATACCACCAACAATAAAGCTCTGTCACAAAAAAAATGCTAAAAATTTCATATGGGTACAGTGTTGCATGACCGCGCAATTGTCATTTAAAGCGCAACAGCGCTGAAAGCTGGAAATTGGGCCTGGGCAGGAAGGGGGTATAAGTGCCCTGTAGGCGAGGGGTTAAAGTATATGTACTTGGGACTAAAGGCGATGTAGAAGTCTGCTTTAAAACCACTGCTTCCCCTCTCCTCCTACCTCTGCCATATAGTGCTGGTAACAAAGATCTGGGTAAATACCTTGTTTCAGTCTGCTCCAGTCCAGTCAAGTGATGAAGAAACTTCAGCTCCTTTGTGTTGTGAAGCACGTGACAAGGGGTCTGAATTCCAGGAGCTGTGATGTCACCCGCCAGCTTCCATTGCCCAATGGTTGTTGGCACTCATTCCTCTCCCATGCAGCAGGCACTCCATGACGCAGGGTAGCTGGAGCTGCTGCATCACGTGATTGAACCAGACTGAATGGCAATAATGTATTTACCAGGGGCGGACTGACCATTTGGAAACTCGGGCACTGCCCGAGGTCAGTAGGGGGCCCCATGAGATGTCCCTGGTACCTTTTTTTTTTTTTTCATAGACTTTTTTGAGTTTGGGCAAGGACATAGGGGCCCCATGATCCCCTATTGCCCGGGGGCCCCATGAGTTGTCAGTCCGCCCCTGGTATTTACACAGATCTTTTTGTACCAGCACTGTACAGCATAGGTAGGATTTTAAACCTAATTATATGTAGCCTTTATGTTCACTTTAGCAACGAATATCTTATTTGCTCCCTTTCTGTTCTGTTTTAGACCAATGAAAGCGTTTTGTTACTTCTGTTCGATACGTGCAATCAATTCTGCCAGAAATCCAGTGAGCTTGTAGCTGTTACCAGTGTTAACAGCCCTGCCCAGCTCACTTCTGTGGACTACAGGACACCTCTGCCTGATGAGGAGAGGCAAAGGTTCTCTGCAGTTTTAACATACTTCTTCTAGGCCAGGGGTAGGCAACCTGCGGCTCTCTAGCTGTTGTGGAACTACATTTCCCATGAGGCATTGCAAAGATTACAAAACTGACAGTTACAGCTATGACTTGCAGAGGCATGATGGAACTTGTAGTCCTGCGGCTCTCAGGTTGCCTACCCCTGTTCTGACAACATAGCTCCTCCATAGTGCGTTGAGTGAATGTTGTCACCCTAAGACAGGAAGAGCTTTACTGGCAGGATCACTGGGTGCAAATAAAGGGATGAAAAGCTTGAAAAAAAATACAGCCAACACATCTAAGGATTGGTAAACTGCAATAGATTACATTTTTGTTCTTTGGTTTAGATACACTTCACAGAGAAAGGCAGCCATGTTTGGGATTATGCTTTAAGTTGAATAGTTAAAGTGGCAATAAGCTCCCCTCATATGATTTAAGTGGTTCTAAAGTCTAAACATTTTTTACCTTAATGCATTCCCTGCATTAAGGTCAAAAAATGTTTAGGCATCAGTATCACCCCTTACTCCCTATTTACTTACCTGAGCCCTCACTCAATCCAGCGCTGTGCCCCTCTGCAACGGCTTTGTCTCCTCTCCCCGCTCCTGTAGGACAGACTGAGAGCAGCTGGAGCCATTGGCTCCTGCTGCTGTTAGTCAAATCCTATGATGAGGGAGCAGGGGTAGGGGCCATGCTGTGTTGTCTATGGATGCAGGCAGTGAGGCTCATTATCAATCCTGCACTAGTGCCCCCATAGCAAGTGGCTTGCTATGGGGGTGCTTGCTGAAGAGGAGGAGCCAGGAGCTGAGAAACAGAGGTTTGGGCCTTCTGTGTGCAGTTATGTTGCACAGAGCAGGTAACTATACACTTTTTTTTTTTTTTTTTTTTTTTTGTTACTAGAGCCCTGGTATGGGCGATGTGTTAGGAGCATGGCCTCAGGTGGCAGGCTTTGTGATGTGTGTTGTCTGTCCTTTCTGCATGCTCTGTAAACCTTCTGAACTTTCTAAAAATCTTCAGTGTGTGGCCCAGTCTTCTGTCTGTATGTGGTGAGGTGTGGAAATGGGCTCCCGCACCCGGCTGTGTTGCAGGCATGAAGGGGTTTTCACATGGTGCCCTAGGACGGTGGAACATATGCAGATCAACAATCCGGGACTGTCATGGTTGGAATTGGGGCGGCACAGTGGCTTAGTAGTTAGCACTTCTGCCTGGCAGTACTAGGGTCGTTGGTTCGAATCCCAACCACGGCACCACCTGCCTGGGGTTTGCATGTTCTCCCTGTGTCTGCGTGGGTTTCCTCCGGGTACTCCGGTTTCCTCCCACACTCAAAGACATGCTGGTAGGTGAATTGGCTCCTGTCAAAATTGTCCCTAGTATGTGTATGTATGAATGTAAGTTAGGGACCTTAGATTGTACACCCCTTGAGGGTTAGGGACCTTAGATTGTACACCCCTTGAGGGTTAGGGACCTTAGATTGTACACACCCTTGAGGGTTAGGGACTGATGTGAATGTACAATATATATGTAAAGTGCTGCGTAAACTGACGGCGCTATATAAGTACCTGAAATAAATAAATAATTCAAACAGATGACCGTAGTGCTGCAAGGCAAAAGTGCAAACCCCCAAGTCGCCATGCAGTATAACCGTAATGAAAGTAGACCTGTGCTCGCTGTAAATTACTAAGCCAGTTATAAGGAGAATAGCCACGGCGTAAGACCTCACCATCAGCACATACAATAATCCACTGCAGGGGCTCCCTGAAACAACATAAGAGGAGTAAAAAGAAACGGGGAGTTCATTTGTGGTTGCCTGGTGCTCAGACACAACCTCTTTGGGGCGTATTCATAAAGATGTGAATTTGATATTCACCAGACATTCACTGCAGGCGAGTCTTCCAGGTCCATGTATTTTTAATAAGACAGTAATTGGTTCATCATCAGTGAATGTTTGATGTAAATCAGTCACTTCTATATTATGTCTTAGTGTTGCAGTACTCTTCATTAAATAGGCGGGGTGGTAGGCATCCTAAACGCACCATTGAAACCATTCACCAAAAGACCAAATCGCACAGAAGGTATCTGTATTTTGGCCAAGACATGTAAGCTCACTAACTGGGCCGAGCGACTACATGTCTACTGTAGAGAAGAGAAGGGACACATGATGTAACCATACCGTCAACGAAGAAGAGACGGGACCTATGATGTCACCATACCATCAAGGAAGAAAAGAGCTCCATGATGTCCACATTCCATCAAGGAACTAAAGGGACCCATGATGTATACATACCAACAAGGAAGAGGAGAAGAGACCCATGTCACCATACAGCCAAGAAAGAAGAGAAAGGACCCATGATGTCATCATACTATTCTGGAAGAAGAGAAAGGATCCATGATGTCATCATACTATTCTGAAAGAAGAGAAAGGATCCTTGATATCATACTATTCTGGAAGAAGAGAAAGGATCCATGATGTCGTCATACTATTTTGGAAGAAGAGAAAGGATCCATGATGTCATCATACTATTCTGAAAGAAGAGAAGGGATCCATGATGTCATCATACTATTCTGAAAGAAGAGAAAGGATCCATGATGTCATCATACTATTCTGAAAGAAGAGACAGGATCCATGATGTCCTCATACTATTCTGAAAGAAGAGAGAGGATCCATGATGTCATACTATTCTGAAAGAAGAGAAAGGATCCATGATGTCATACTATTCTGGAAGAAGAGACAGGATCCATGATGTCATCATACTATTTTGGAAGAAGAGAGAAAGGATCCATGATGTCATCATACTATTCTGGAAGAAGAGAAAGGATCCATGATGTCATCATACTATTCTGAAAGAAGAGAGGATCCATGATGTCATCATACTATTCTGAAAGAAGAGAGAGGATCCATGATGTCATACTATTCTGAAAGAAGAGAAAGGATCCATGATGTCATACTATTCTGGAAGAAGAGAGAGGATCCATGATGTCATCATACTATTCTGGAAGAAGAGAAAGGATTCATGATGTCATCATACTATTCTGAAAGAAGAGACAGGATTCATGATGTCATCATACTATTCTGAAAGAAGACAGGATCCATGATGTCATACTATTCTGGAAGAAGAGACAGGATCCATGATGTCATCATACTATTTTGGAA